TACGATGTGATGACGAACTATAATGACTACGTCGAATTAATTTCAAAATTGTTACGAGTTCCAAGGACTTAATTAATTCGTATTAGCAATGAGTCATCAAATCGTTCACCGAAACGATTATTTTCACAATTTATGATCTATTTGTACGAATTGATATTGATTTAAAGATTATTTGTAACGTACTATTAATACTACAATTGCAACAAAAATTTATTTAATTTAAATCTTATCTTAATATTTAATGTTTCTGTTCACAAAGTAATTATTTTTTTAAAAAAGTGTTTAAAAATAGTTTTTACTTTACCAGAAACAGATGCAAAATCAATTTTATAACATAAGAAACAATTATAATTTTATAAATACATCGAAAGAACAATTTTGCTAAAATGTTTAAAAATTAGCTAGATACGAATCTGAAAATAATTTTGTTAAATCATCAAAATATTTATTTAAACATATTGAACAATGATGTAAAAAATTTTGATACATTTCAATTTGAGTTACATAATTATTTTGATAGTCAAAAATTATTTTTAGATGTGTATCTATCTAAATCTTTAAATACTTCAGCAAAGTTATTCTTTTCGTGAAAAAATATCTACGTCTTTTTATTATCATCCTTTGCTCGTAACATGTATCAACTCTAATAGTTCAACAATCGAACAAATCATTTTGTGATAGCAATTATGATGATTAAACGAAGTAAAATGTGAAGATATACTAAATCTTCGAACGATAAATCGTCAACAGGATTCATTATTCTGTCAATGGACGATAATCTGGGGATTTAGAAGAAAAAAATCTTCTTATAGTGAAAGAACTGTTTGCGTAATACATGCCGAGCACATGCTTCGGCAGTAATTACGACATTTTTGCGGATCGCTAATGATGCGCAGTCATTGACATTCAGCTGAGGCAACGGAATAAATCAGTGAAAGTTACAACTACGTTACAAAATGAGCAATTAATCATATTCGGTTAATCGATTACAATTCGAATATATATTTGTATAAATAAACAACGTTATTGTTCTCCACAATTCTTTAATTTATATACAGTGTAACAGATTTAATTTTTTTAATCACGTTGTACCAATCAATAATTATAACGTATTTTATTTTATGGCAATTAAGCTGTAGTTTTATTAATTTGTGTTTTAATATATTTCTTTTATTATATATCTATATTTAATTAATAATCTGAACAATTAAAAGATATTTATTTAATTAGGAAACATTGAAAATGTTTACGTAGTCATTTCTGATAATACATTAATCCGAAAATATCGTAATATTTCTTACAATGCGATGCGAAAATCTTTCACGTTATCTTGCGTGGCTTTCCAGTTAATGATCGAATACATGTTTCTATTATCTTGTATGTTAAATGCTGAAGAATATTGTAGATAAATGTAATGTTTTTGCACCGCATGCAGAATTGTGCCAATGACGTAAAGTTTATCTTATTACATACGTATCCGTATTTTTCATTCATAATTTCTATGTACAAATATCACAAATATAATTTAAAAATTACTTCGTCACCAAATCAATTATACTGATTTTTATAACAATATCAAAATTTATTTATAAACGCCGATATTAATTAATTATACGTATGTGTAGAGTTATGCAAGTTTTAATCTGCGCCGATCTTTAACCCTCGGTTGACTTGAGCAAGAATTTCAATTATCGCATCGCGCCGGTGCTAAACTATTGCACGACAATTTCGCTAATCCTGCTACTTGTTGATAGTTACTCGTTAACTATAGGCTTTATTTAATCAACAGATTATATCATGAAGGCTTGATTAGCTACCGAGAGATTTCGTAGGATATTATGTTATACATACATATTATAAGTAATAGAAATTCATCAATATTATATGTCCAAAGTTATAGAATTTGCATTAAGATAAAAATGTATAGCATTTGTGAGATTATAGTCGTATGATAAAATAATTACGCGAGTGTTAGAAATTCTATTTTACAATTATTATCGATGTAAATGTTAGTAATAATTATATTTATAATTTTATCAAAAAATATATAATAAAAATAACTATGAATATAAATTAAAAAAGATTATAAATTATACATAAATTATGATAATTGCAGCAATTTTTTTCTGTCAATATGAAATTATAATAATGATGATTTTTAAAAATAAATATTAAAACTATTTTGTAATAAAAATCTTAATTTAAAATGGATTTTAACTTTTATTTAATTATCGATCTGATTTGTCTATTTTCAAGTATCATAAATAACGAGCGTAATATTAGAACATTACATTCTGAAGCAGAAACAAGAAATGAATGAAAAAATGAGAGTCAGCAAATGAAAGTGATTAAAACCGCCAAAGAACTACCGTCGATTCAAGTATCTTCCGTACATACGTTCGGATTCATCTAATTTGCATAAGACGTGCTAGGCCGTGAACCGGTGAGAGACTGGTGTAGATATCGTAACTGTGCCTTATTTGACGCCGAAGAAGAACGCGATTGTATTACATCATGAGATCCTCGAGATCTCTAATGGCACGCGAACCGAGCAGTTTGATGGCGTGTGACTTTTTATGCACAGAAACTGCGCGACTGACCTTTACCGGACGAAAACTTATTTCGTTACATGATCGTTCTCATTTTAATCCACATATTGGAAAAAAAGTCTGGTTGCATTAATTGGTTAAAAATGGACAATCAGAACTTTTTTATTGAATCTGTTATAATTCGCTAGTTAAAATAATTAGAATTCTCATTATAATATGCTATAGAATCTTCTAGTTCGTTCAAATCAGAAATTTTTCTCAGAGTGCATATTAAGCAAGAATGATGCATTTCTAATTCAATCGATGGAATTCGAAGAAATATAAACATTATATAAATTGCTGATAAATTATCTTTCGATTATATTGAGAAAAATTTTTAGTTAAAAATGGATGAATAGAAGATTCTGATTATATCAATTCTGATTATCTCAACTAGAATTATATATAAATTATGTATAAGTTATAATAAATATAACCAAAAAATTCTGATTTGTCTATTTTCAATCAGAATTTTAATCAATGCAATCAAACTTTTTTTCCAATACATCTAACTCAATTCACTAGTGACTTTGTGACTTTATATATCTTGTAAAAGAAAAGGTTAAAATATTAACGTTTTTTATTTTAGAATGTTTTTAGTAATCATACCGAGGAGATAATAATCTAAAATGATTTCTGTGTTAATAAATGTGAACAAGTTGGCGGATTAGGTGTTCTTTAGAAATTTCATGTATGAAAATTGTTTCACGCAAAGAGAATGTAAGATTTGCACTTAATGGACTTCTAAATAAAGCTTATACTTTTAAAATATATACTTGAGAAACATTTTCAAAGTTTTTCTTTGCACTGAGTAAAATTTCTAGTTGAGAATAAATAAACTAGCATATTTTGATCGTATTAGCCGGAATTCTGCAGGTCATCATAATTGGACATTTAATTATTTCGATTGAAATTCTAATGGATTTAAACAGAAACTGATTTGTCTATTTTTCACTTCTACGACTTAAGATTCTCTTTCCAGTATGTGTAATGTGTATAGTCAAATTTTTTATATAAGAATTCATATACAAGAATTGAACTAACAATATTTAATTAATGCTAAAATTTAAGCAGTGTTTCAAAATTTAACTTTACCGCTTTCTTTTTTAATTTAATAACAAAACTTCTGAATTCTTAAAAAAATATTACAATCTATTTTATTAGACAAAACTTTTAGTCTGCCTACTGCATTCTTCTTTAGATTCCTCTTTATCACTTGCGTGATAACTTCATTACATCAAAATTTGAAAAAAATTAAGAAAATTATAAAAAAATATGTCGGATTTCAAGTTAAAGAACAATAACTCTTGACATTTGCACCCTGCCGCAACAGCTGTTTCACTATATTCCCGCGAGAAGACTGGGTTTATGTATGTAAATACCAAACGGCAGGCTCATCGACGAAAACGTTCTTTTATAGAAAGGAAAGTGCACATGACGCTCGTAAGAGTCGAAAATCAAAGGCGCCAAGACAGCCGGGTGTTCTCGCTATTGTCATGAGAATGCATGCGGAATAAATTATCGTTGCATCTTTGCTATTGCTGAGCTCGATACTTTCTACGGCGAATTTTTTACGTTATCGCAGCACAACAAAAAAGGAAACTTGGCTGTAGAGTTGAAATATATACAGAATGTCTCATAAAAAGACATACATAACAATACTCAAGAATATTTTACAAAATTCTTTATTTTTTTCTGTGAAAATCGAAAAAGTTTAATATTAAAAGCTAACAACACCCAAAATAAAACTTTCAATTAAATCTTATAAAGCAAAAAAAAAATTTTTATATTACATTAAGGGAAATATTTAGTTCAAAATTTAATATAAAAAATTAATATAAAAAATATTATATATCAAATATGTAATAAATAGAATTTAAAAATTTAGGAATTTTATACAAAAAGTAAAAAATTTCGCTCATTAAGAATGTTATTACACATAAGTTTTTTCATTAAACTTGTACATACATTTATGATTGACAGTTTTTATTTTTTGTTTTACAAATTTTAATTTCTTATAACTTTTTTAAATATTTAAATATGGCAACGAGATTACTACTTTTATTTTTGCGTTTTTATCTATCACGAGATGCAACATTACTGCGATGTTTTGTACGAGAACGTAAGAATTTTTAAAAACTTCTAGATAACGCATGACCATTGAATTGAAAGATCGATGAACGGTAAAGGGTATCGTGTAAGGATATCGTTTAATTTTTCAATCTCTATTCTCGAATAGCAGCTATAACCTTCCATCAGATTTCTTCACTATATCTCACTTCTCCGGAACACTCGCCGATAAGAAACGGAAACCCGCAACCCCTTCGCGCGTCGAGTACACCCTTCCCCGTTTGTGCCTATTTTCTCTCACATCACTTTTGCGTCCACGATTTGTGATACACTGCTACTTACCATGGCTAGATCGCAGCGCTGATCACCGATGAAGATGACCAAAACAAAACGGACACTTCAAAACGAACACATACCTCACTCGGGAGAGCGCGAGCGTCCCGGGAGGTGACTTCTTCGTTTGCGGACGACCAAGAGCATTTATAGGATTTACCTGATTGGCTGGTGGGGAGGAACGTTCGGTCCATGATGATTATTGCCAAGCATGAGATGTCTGCGGGATGCTGTAATTCTTCTACTTCCACGCACATATACAGGTGGGGGTTGGACTGGAAAGGTAGAGGGAGAGGAAGAGCTGGAGAAAGACGGAAAAGGATAGAGGGGAAGAAAAACAGAGAGAGAGAGAGAGAGAGAGAGAGAAAGTGAGAGTGAGCATCCCATGAGAAGGACGGAATCATCCGTGGTATTCCAAAGGTCTGATAGAATGAACGATGGATGCTGAATGGCAATAGCCGAAGGATCCGTATTCGTCCCTGATCTAAGAATGTGTCAGCGAACGTCTGGAGATGATTTCGAGAGACTCAAGGATGTGTATCTGATCAAAAAAAAGGTCATTCGTGTTAAAGATATTATTTGTGTTAGATCATGTATATTAATTATATACATTAATTATATTTGTTTCTTATATTTATACATTTACTTTGTTTGGTTCATAGTCTTCCTAAACTTTTATTTTTAAAAAAAGGAATGCCAATATCACGTTGCCGATTATTGATGCATATGCATTTCTCGTAGGCATTAAAAAAAATACAAATTGGTGGCAACAAATGATGGCAATGTTTACTGCCAAAACGACCTCCTCGATGTCCTTATTCTGATAGAAGACGCAAAACAGTCGTGTATGTGAAAAAGTGTATGCAAATTTGATGTTAATAACACTGAACAATAAATTTTGATCAACACTTTGTTTGTCAATAAATAGTAGATGTTCCTTATAGGGATTTTCATTCTGAAAAAGGATATGCTTTTCAAAAATTCCATCATATTCTCTTGAATTTTTAGAAACTCTGCTTTGAATTACTTACGCAAATTGTAGATATATGTAATACATAGCTATAATTTAAATATCTTTTGCAATATATGAAAATAAATATGATTGTATAAAATCTTTTTATGTGCAATTTTAAATGATATATCAAAATGATAAAATTTATTAACAACATTTAAATTTATAATCAGTGTAATTAATTTTTTACAATCTGATCATCATAATAGTAATAGTAATCATATATAATAATAGTGTAACACAATATTACATTTAGATAATCTTCTTACACACATACCTTGATTGAAAGATTCACTAAAATTTGTTGCCTAGAACGTTACTAATACAAATCGCTATTATTAAATAAATAAAAATAATAAATCAAAATAAATCAAGGTATACAAGGTATACGAACATCATTGAAGTACATAATCGGCTACAACATTTCCACTTCTCCTTTCTTTGTATCCTTCTCTACAGAAAAGTAAGGAAACTTCCGCATCATGAATCCATCAAAATAGAATTAACGCATATCTTCTAAATGTCAACAGGATCAAGTCTCGTTATGTATATCTGCTTCTCTATGTAATATTAAACAGTAGAAGCAGGTCGTATGGGCACTTCAATAATTACATGCCACAGCTAACGCAACGATAAACTTCACGATTCCATTATGCAATGTGCTTTTTTGCACGTTTTTGAGGTCTAAGAGTGTAATTCAAAGTGGTGATAAATACCGTCATGACAGTAAGTGATGGGTGGATAGTCTGAAAAGATTGTAACATACTTTGCTGTTGTAAATGTCTACCGTGCGTATATCTGTCAAAGGCCGATCTCTATTGATTCTGGCTGATATAACGTAATGTAGGAGCTGGTGCATATATCCGATCAAATTTAATTGCATCGTAAAGCGAGGGTGATGAAGATTTACATTTCACTGGACCGTATTTAGAATTTGTGGATTTTGATATTGTTGACATTTTAGTATTGTGCAAGAGTATTATAGACTGCGCGTGATGTAAGACTAATCAATTTACGATCGTCGACGAAAGCTGTCGGTAAAATTTTGATATTCATTTGCTAATTTCTCTCATCGTAAAAGCATTTTTCATCGTAAAATCCCATTAAGACAGTATTTAACTTGTAACTGCTTTTAGTTATGGCCTAAAAATTATTTAATATTAAATAGTTTTATTAATTTGCAATTTTATGAAATTTAACTTGTCGCTAGTTAGTGATATCAATTCTTTTATACACTGAGAAAAAAATACTGTTGATTCAATTAAAGTCTACATTACGGACTGTCACTAACATAAGTAATCAATTATTATTGAAATAATAATTTATGCCTTTATGTCAATAAAAATATACATGAATTAATCACTTATGTTAGTGACAGCCCGTAATATAGACTTTAATTGAATCAACAGCATTTTTTTTTCAGTGTACGATTGATACACATCACTTAAGTTGTATGCTATTTGGAGGGTTTTAATATTGTCTTAAAAATCAAGTAATGTAGATATGATAATCTGAGTTTTTTGTTTGGTGTTCTACATACGCTTACCTAATTTTGTGTTTTGAATTGAGCAAGAGATGCATTCTCTGGCCATTTCTTTTCTCTGATATCCCTTGGATTTCTTCTCCTTGTATATCATTTAATTTTCTCTATTAAGGAGTCAAACGTAAATACCTTATACACCGAATGGTGATCGCCATTGACACCATAAACTAACGATATGTTGCATTATACTTATTGTTAGTGTGAAATACTGGCTCGACATCTTTCGTAAAGATATTTATGTGAAATTTTAATTAAAAAACTGTTTCAGTTGTCTTTACAATAAAAAGATTGAAAATATGTACATATGTTTATTTTTTACTTTTAATCATCTTAAATTTAAAATATTGAAAGTTTATATTACTCCTTTTCTTTCTCAAATATTTCTATTTTTATTTTATAACTATTTTTCAATTTCTGTAATAAAATAACTATAAAATAGTAAATAAGAAATATGTTACTTAATGTGTGTAGTTTCCTAATATTTTGTAATAAAATTTTGTAAATGTAAAAACTTTCATACAGTTTAATTCATTTATATTCATTAACTTAATTTTTTCAACATTATTAACATGATTTTATTTAATCTCATGTGATAAATCACGGGTGGCGTACACCTGAATGTAAGATGTATGTTTCACACGACGACGACTTTTCATTTATGCGGAGAAAAAGTGGCGAAAAAAGCCAACAGACTTTTCATTGCGCAAGGAAGAGACGCATTAATGTTTCTTCTTGAGTCATGTAAACTCGTCATCGGGCTAGAGATGCTTAGACACAATGATGCTCGAACGATCATCAGCGGGTCATTGCAAACATTACGCGAGCTTGCATTTACGCGTAGCGATGCACCAGCTACCGTGAGGTCCAATAAAAGTTTAGTACCAGTGGCGCAAGTACTTAGAATAAGTGCCTGAGTTATTTGCTAACGGGAATAGTACTCGTGTAGAGAAATCTTCAATGTGTACACTCTTTGCATTTGTTTCAAGGTGATAATCGCCTGCGATATCAGAAAATTATAAATGATTCATTAAACGATTTATTTTTGCAAAGAATAATTAGTTCAAAATATAATAAATTGTTTTTTTTTAGATTGTACTAAGATCTAAGGTACTAAGATTATAATAAGATATCTTCTATTATATATTGTATTATATATATGTGTATTATATATATAAATGGACCATTTAGATAGCATCCCAAATGATCCACTCAAATTTTTGTGTATATTATAGATTAATTATTTCTGATCACTTACAATTAATAATAATTATGTACTATACCTATTGTATATAGCGGGAAATATATTGTACAATTGATAAAAAAATCTTCTAAATTGTTTAATTTTCGCAAAATGTTATATTCTTAATTACGTAAAGATGCAATTATCTTGGCGATGGAGATGGCATATCTCTCAACTCTGTTAGTTCTTTTTTTCTTTAACTTATAACGATTTGCAATGTCGGCAAATCGTTACATTAATAAAAAGCAGATAAACATCCGGCGTGTCACGCCACCAGATTTATCATCGGGATAGTCTTCGTAAAAAAGCTTATTTTTTCAAATTCTGCATTAAATAAAACATGCTTATGGAGCAAATTATAAGCATAATTAGGAAGCAAAATATTATGAAAGTAAATATTTATCGATTCTTGTAAATTTTCTTATTTTTACTATCGCAGTCTATAAATCTTTGATTACAACAAATACATCATATATTTTTGCTTCGTAACATTGTCTTTATTGAAACTTCATTATTATTCAAAAGATTAATTTTATTGCACTTGAAATATAAATCACGTTAGATACAAATGAGTGGTTATAAAACTTAATGAATTTTTAATGTACATGGGCTAAATATGATCGCGAATAAAAAAGATTGCATCCTCCACTCGACGGCGTGAGAAATTTCTTTGATCGCAAGTTAACTCGCCACGCGCGATAATTTCAGAGGCGTGGATGTTGATAGTCGGGAAAAAGATTTTCATCTATAAATTTCCCCGAATTAAAATTGCGAATCAAAATTCGTTAAAATAATTATAATTAAATATATAAAATAGAAATAAAAAAAATATATATTTACGTCTAAATTTTACAAATCGTGCATTTTTCTCCTTAATTCTATATTCGACGTTTTATGTATGTAATCGCACAAAGGTTAAAATTATGTCGGTGTAATCTTACATTTATGCTGTTAATCTAAGGCTGATTCTTGTCAGGCTAATTGAAATGTTCTTCCTGATCGATGCTCTTACATCCGCACTTTTGTATGCTTCTCTATTTGACACCGTACGGTAAATAATTCCGGGGACATTGTAATTATTTATGAATGAAGTTCGCGTCTCGTGAGGTTAACCTTTCGCTTAGTATTCAGTTTTTCACTGAATGAAGGGGCTTGACACAAACGCAGAAAAGGTCGTGATCGCTGCCCGCGCGACCTTCGCTCGTCACGTTTCGCAGATAAGCCGTTAAAGGGATATATGTATACTCTCAACAGAATAGGAAAATCGGTTTCTAAATCATGAATCAGCTGCTGCTGCTGCTGCTCTGTATGTGTGTGTGTG